ACGGCGTGTCTCTCACTTGCGTGAGAGTGCCGTGGAAGGTGCTGTTTCAGCCCGTCCTCAGCCCACCAGTCCGCCACTGCACACAACGCGACGAACTGCGTGAAGCGAGAGCGGGCGTCAATCAGCAACCTTCCTATCCACGACGCTTGACGTGTCGGGATAGTCTCGGACTCAAGTCACCTGTGCAGCCGAGGCCGCATGGGGACCGAGTCGAGATGCTGACTTCCCACTTGCGTGGGAGGTGGCAGTTGGGTGCGTGAGGTGTGTGAGTGTTGATTTCTGGTGGGGTGACGGAGGTGGTGGTGGAGGAGGTAGGGAGTGAGTGAATGTGTGGTGTGACCGGCGGTCGTCTACCGCAGATCGTCGTGGATGCGCATGTGGCCAAAGAGGCCCGTGCGATGCCTGAAAGTGCGAAGGCAGTGTGGGCAGTTGAGACGAGCTTGGTGGGTATAGGTGGGTGCTCCAGGCACTGGTTCGCCAGTCTCTATGTGATGGATTCGCAAGTGACCGACCAGGCCGATGCGTGAGGTGAATATGCGTGGACAGTGTGGGCATGAGAAGTTGGTCGGTGTCAGTGCCAGCTACAGAGAAGTCGGTGGTGGTGGTGGTGGTGGCGCGGACGGATGGAGCGAGGGTGGGGGTGTGCACGGTGGATGTGGTGGGTGTGTCGGGAGTGCGGTCATGGCCGCTCTCGTGGATACGCATGTGGCCGAAAAGGCCCATGCGATGCCTGAAGGTGCGAGGGCAGTAGAGGCGAGTGCGGTGGGTGTAGGTTGGTGCTTCACGCACTGGTTCGCCAGTTTCTGTGCGATGGATTCGCAAGTGACCGACCGGGCCGATGTGTGAGGCGAAGGTACGGTCGCAGTGTGGGCAGGTGTAGTCCTGATCCTCAGCGCTGGAGTCGGGGGAGGTGGCGGTAATGTCGGTTGTTGTGCGCGGGACAGTCGCCTGAGCGGCCGCCGTTGGAGCAGTGGGCGAGGAGGAGGAGGAGGAGGATGATGGAAGTGGTGGGTCAGAAGAATTGTCAGAGTTAGTTGGCGGCGGAGAGGAGGAGGAAGAGGCGGGCGGGGGGACGATGGTTGGTGCCGTTCGAGAGGCCCAGTTAGTCTGAAGATGTCCAACAAGTCCGATTCGAGCCCGGAATGTCCGTTGACATCGAGGACACGTTGGAAGCGGTTGTGCGGCGGCGTTGAGTTCTGGGCGAAGTTGTGATTTGCGGGCTTGACGTTTCGCTTTGGCGGCAGCGATGCGATTGGCTTCGTAGATCGCAGCGCCTGTCTTCACTTTCTTCCTCCAGGTCGGTCGATCGAGTGCGAGCTCCTCCCAGTTGGTGGGGTTGATTTGCAGGCGTTTCAGGGAGGACTTCAGGGTATCCTTGTAATGGCGAATCTGGCCTCCTCGACGGCGAGAACCCGTTGCGATGTCTCCGTAGAAGAGTCGTTTGGGTAGTCTGTCGTCGTCCATGCGCACCAGGTGGCCGCTCCAGCGCAGCTGAGTTTGCCTCAGTATGGCGTAGATGCTGAGGATTCCTGTCCGTTCCAGCACATCAGTGTATGGGGATTCGATCCTGCCACTTCAGTCTCAGGATGCAACGAAGACAACTGAGGTGGAAGTGGTTCAGACGACGTGCCTGCTTTGCGTACACCGTCCAAGTCTCCGCTCAATACAGTAGTGTCGGCAGAATGACGGCCTTGTGCATCTTCAGCTTCGTGCTCAGCTGAAGACCGTGGCGATTCCAAACTGTGCTTTGGAGGCGACCGAAGGCTTGACTGGCTTTCGAGATCCTGTTGGCGACTTCGTCGTCGATCTTGGTGTTGCGGGAGAGAGTACTGCCCAGGTACGGGAAGTTCTTCACCACTTGC